ATTTAACAATAGATTCCATTATTTTTATAAGCAATTTTAAATGTTCAAAAAGCATATCCATTATATATAATATTGTGTAATTAACATTTTTAAAATTTATATTGTTTTTCCTCTAATCCGTTATATATATATATATATATATATATATATATATATATATATATATATATATATGTATATATATATATTTGGGAATAAGAATAATTTTTCAGAGTCTGGTTGGAATTAGGACCAGTGGTTGAGCTTTCCTTAGAGTGAGACCAAACCTATCTGTAACGTCCATATCCTCAGGAGCCATTTCATAAGGCAATTTCCAGTCAAACTTCTGCACAAGTGTAGCCAGTATGAGGCTCACCATTCTCAAACCAAGATTCATCCCGGGGCATATTCTCCTTCCAGAACTAAACGGAATAAACGAAAAAACCCTGCCCCTGAAATCGATATCCGAGTCAAGAAACCTTTCGGGCACAAAACACGTGAAGCCCTCCTAACTTTTAGGATCCCTTGTAATCGACAGAACAATCAACCAGATTCGAGTGTTTTTCGGAATGGTAAAACCATGAATTTCAACTTGTTCGGCTCGACGGGGCAAGAGTATAGGCGATGGGAGGGTGTAGCCTCATTGTCTCTTTGATCACTGCGGTTAAGTATGGGAGTTGAGGGAGATCTTGTTCTTGTACTGTTTTGCCGTTTGTTATTTTTTCAGACAACTTTTGTCTTAATTTGGATAATATGTTTGGATTGCGAATGTGCTCCGTCATTGCCCATTCAACGGTTGGTGTGCTGCTGTCCGTACCTCCGATGAATAATTCCTAACATGATCGAAGAATGATATATATATTAGTAACATCAATCTCTTAAAAACGTAAATATATAAATGGTCATTCTACTTAATTTGGGTTAATAAAATTTTATGCACAATATTATATTAATTGCCAAAAAAACCCAATTTCCAAATTTCATCTATCCTACATGGCAAAATAGTGTCTTTTTATTGGTTAATGCGTTTTTTTTTATCATAATATTTTCATTAAAATATTGTGGGACTGAAATGCAATCATGTTCCACCACATATATCACATATTATTATTAATTTCAAAATAACCCAACTTACCATAGTCGCCCATATTATTAATGAATTAATTTCACCTTATTGATTTTAAATTTTATCTTTCATACATGTCAAAATGGTGTCTTTTTATTGTTTATTGAGTTTGCTTTTTCAATCAATTGCTTCATATTAAAAACGTAAATATATAAATTTACATTCCACTTAATTTGGTTTAATTAAATTTTATGAAAATCCCAATTTTCAAATCCCATCTATCCTACATGGCAAAATAGTGTTTTTTTATTGGTTAATGATTTTTTTTTTATTATAATATTTTCACTAAAAAAATCGTGGGACTGAAATGCAATTATGCTCCACCACATATATCACATATTATTATTAATTTCAAAATAACCCCACTTACCATATTCACCCATATTATTAATGAATTAATTTCACATTATTGATTTTTAAATTTTATTTCTCCTACACGTTTATTTTTAAAGTAGTCTAGATAAAATAGGTAATTACATCAATTTATATTAATTACTTTTTTTGTTACCTTTATTATATTCCCTAACTCTACTATAAATTAACATTCAACACATTAACATTCTTCACCTTTTCCACATACTTTTATTTTTCTGTTTCGGAGATATGGAGAGAATTCTTGAAAAAGAATTGCATTGGTATCACCTACATGCAATGGTATATTCATCATAGTCTCTTTTTAAGTATAACAATGAATTATTGTTTTATTTTGTATTTGATTTCTTCATTCAATTTTATATGTAGCCTTTAAGAAATGCTTTTGTTGAGGCTTCTCGGTTGATAGGATTGTCTACTATCAATATTCGATACGAGGAGGGAAATCATTTTCAAGTTGCGGTATCTTCGCGCAAAAAACATGGAAAAATGTATATGTTGTTGACTAAGGGTTGGACAGAGTTTTACATAACATGGTTTGCGGCAACGCATATTCTTTTTTTTTAACCAATGGGATGATATACTTGAGGTGTGGCACGGCCAGCCTTTACAACAATATGATATGTCTTCGCCCTCCTTAAAGTTTTATTATTATTAATATGAGTTGCATCGATTTACAAATAATTTCCATTTTTTTTATTGTTTTATCTATCATGTTGAAAGAGCATTGTATACCATTAACATAATTGTGCGCATCCACACGGAAACGAATACCCATAAGATAATTAAATAAATATGTAGGAACGATAAAACAATTATAATATATTACAAAAATAATCACAATATATATCACGTATATTTAAACAAAAGAATCCGTTAAATCAATCGAATCAATATACATATTTAAACAATAGATTCCATTATTTTTATAAGCAATTTTAAATGTTCAAAAAGCATATCCATTATATATAATATTGTGTAATTAACATTTTTAAAATTTATATTGTTTTTCCTCTAATCCGTTATATATATATATATATATATATATATATATATATATATATATATATATATATATATATATATATATTTGGGAATAAGAATGATTTTTCAGAGTCTGGTTAGAATTAGGACGAGTGGTTGAGCTTTCCTTAGAGTGAGACCAAACCTATCTGTAATGTCCATATCCTCAGGAGCCATTTCATAAGGCAATTTCCAGTCAAACTTCTGCACAAGTGTAGCCAGTATGAGGCTCACCATTCTCAAACCAAGATTCATCCCGGGGCATATTCTCCTTCCAGAACTAAACGGAATAAACGAAAAAACCCTGCCCCTGAAATCGATATCCGAGTCAAGAAACCTTTCGGGCACAAAACACGTGAAGCCATCCCAACTTTTAGGCTCCCTTGTAATCGACAGAACATTCAACCAGATTCGAGTGTTTTTCGGAATGGTAAAACCATGAATTTCAACTTGTTCGGCTCGACGGGGCAAGAGTATAGGCGATGGGAGGGTGTAGCCTCATTGTCTCTTTGATCACTGCGGTTAAGTATGGGAGTTGAGGGAGATCTTGTTCTTGTACTGTTTTGCCGTTTGTTATTTTTTCAGACAACTTTTGTCTTAATTTGGATAATATGTTTGGATTGCGAATGTGCTCCGTCATTGCCCATTCAACGGTTGGTGTGCTGCTGTCCGTACCTCCGATGAATAATTCCTAACATGATCGAAGAATGATATATATATTAGTAACATCAATCTCTTAAAAACGTAAATATATAAATGGTCATTCTACTTAATTTGGGTTAATAAAATTTTATGCACAATATTATATTAATTGCCAAAAAAACCCAATTTCCAAATTTCATCTATCCTACATGGCAAAATAGTGTCTTTTTATTGGTTAATGAGTTTTTTTTTATCATAATATTTTCATTAAAATATTGTGGGACTGAAATGCAATCATGTTCCACCACATATATCACATATTATTATTAATTTCAAAATAACCCAACTTACCATAGTCGCCCATATTATTAATGAATTAATTTCACCTTATTGATTTTAAATTTTATCTTTCATACATGTCAAAATGAGTTAAATGCAAAACCACCCCCTGTGTAATTCCTAAAGGCCAAAAAACCCCCTGGGAAAAAATAAGTCACCAAAAACCCCCTAACAAGTGTTCAATGAAGCACACTCGACCCTTTTTTGTTTTTGTCTGTTGACCGCCCGCGAAAAGACAAAAATGCCCTTCAGATAAATATATCAAACCTCTAGAATTTTATGACTTAAATGAAATTTTCAAAATTTTCAATTCAGTCCCTAGCACTTTCAATTTAGCCCTCTTCTCCAATTGAAAAAAAAAAAAAAACGCACACTTCAATTTCAATTTCTCAGCTCATAGCTCAACGGCGGCTGCAACGGCAGCTGTGTTTGAGAGGATTTTGCGATGGGCTTTGCTATTCGTCGGAGAATTCGACGAAGTGTAGCTCGCCGGACCTCGATTGGCGACGACTTTAGAGAAGATCTGAACTTGCGGCGGCGGCAGCGGCGGCGGCAGCAGCGGCGGCGGCAGCAGCAGCGGCGGCAGCAACGGCGGCGGCGGTCGCTGGGCAACGTCGGAGAAGATGGCGATGTCGGACAACAAAATGGGCGAAGAAGATGAATTAGGGGTTGGTCAGTTTGACGGGAGGAAGAAATTCCGATTTCTTTTTTCTTTTTTTTTCTTTTTTTTTGTTTTTTTATTGTGTTTTGTTCTTTTTTAATTATTTCATTTATATTTAGTGATTTTTTTCTTTTGTTTTTGTTTAAAATGGTAGAAAAACTAAGAGAGATTTAGAGGGGCATTTGCGTCTTTTCACACAAAAAACGCACCAGCAGTCGCGTTGGTAGCGCGTGCATGACACGAATGAGATAGAGGGGGGTTTATGACTTTGACTACTAATCACAGGGGGGTTTTAGTCACTTAATTTTACCTAGGGGGTTTTTTGGTGTTTAGGAAAATCACAGGGGGTGTTTTTGCATTTAACTCATGTCAAAATGGTGTCTTTTTATTGTTTATTGAGTTTCCTTTTTCAATCAATTGCTTCATATTAAAAACGTAAATATATAAATTTACATTCCACTTAATTTGGTTTAATTAAATTTTATGAAAATCCCAATTTTCAAATCCCATCTATCCTACATGGCAAAATAGTGTTTTTTTATTGGTTAATGATTTTTTTTATTATAATATTTTCACTAAAAAAATCGTGGGACTGAAATGCAATTATGCTCCACCACATATATCACATATTATTATTAATTTCAAAATAACCCCACTTACCATATTCACCCATATTATTAATGAATTAATTTCACATTATTGATTTTTAAATTTTATTTCTCCTACACGTTTATTTTTAAAGTAGTCTAGATAAAATAGGTAATTACATCAATTTATATTAATTACTTTTTTTGTTACCTTTATTATATTCCCTAACTCTACTATAAATTAACATTCAACACATTAACATTCTTCACCTTTTCCACATACTTTTATTTTTCTGTTTCCGAGATATGGAGAGAATTCTTGAAAAAGAATTGCATTGGTATCACCTACATGCAATGGTATATTCATCATAGTCTCTTTTTTAGTATAACAATGAATTATTGTTTTATTTTGTATTTGATTTCTTCATTCAATTTTATATGTAGCCTTTAAGGAATGCTTTTGTTGAGGCTTCTCGGTTAATAGGATTGTCTACTATCAATATTCGATACGAGGAGGGAAATCATTTTCAAGTTGCGGTATCTTCGCGCAAAAAACATGGAAAAATGTATATGTTGTTGACTAAGGGTTGGACAGAGTTTTACATAACATGGTTTGCGGCAACGCATATTCTTTTTTTTTTTAACCAATGGGATGATATACTTGAGGTGTGGCACGGCCAGCCTTTACAACAATATGATATGTCTTCGCCCTCCTTAAAGTTTTATTATTAATAATATGAGTTGCATCGATTTACAAATCATTTCCATTTTTTTTATTCTTTTATCTATCATGTTGAAAGAGCATTGTATACCATTAACATAATTGTGCGCATCCACACGGAAACGAATACCCATAAGATAATTAAATAAATATGTAGGAACGATAAAACAATTATAATATATTACAAAAATAATCACAATATATATCACGTATATTTAAACAAAAGAATCCGTTAAATCAATCGAATCAATATACATATTTAAACAATAGATTCCATTATTTTTATAAGCAATTTTAAATGTTCAAAAAGCATAACCATTATATATAATAATTTGTAATTAACATTTTTAAAATTTATATTGTTTTTCCTCTAATCCGTTATATATATATATATATATATATATATATATATATATATATATATATATATATATATATATATATATAATATGTATACTTATTTAAACAATAGAATCTGTGTATAATATATTTAATTTTTATGGATATATTCAAACAATATATATTTTATTTCCTTTATACTAATTAATGTTGATTTAATCTTTTCTATTTATGTAGGTTATCTATAATTAATATAAATTAGGCATATAAATATTTTCTTAATCGAAATTTATGCAGTTTATTTATAGGAAATTGCTTACTTTTAGTACATTACATGTAATATGAATAGTTCTTAAATATGATTTACTCTAATTTTAGATCTATTAATTAATTAGATTCCATTTATTATGATGTAGGAAACAATAGAAACATGTTTTTTTTATGAAGATGTAATCTTTTATATTTATGTAGGTGATCTATAATTAATATTATGCGTAATCGAAATTTATGCATTTTATTTATAGGAAATTGCTTAATTTTAGTTAATTACATGGAATATGAATATTTATTAACTATAATTTACTCTAATTTCGGTACTATTGAATATAATTGTATTCCATTTACTATAATTACGGAACTAAAATTTAGGAATTATAATTTTACTTCCATGATTGTATTTCATTTACTATGATTTAGGAACTATTAAATCTCATCATATTATATACACACGATTCATTTCATGGTTACTCTAAACTGCAGGATAATATTGTTCTCTCGATACTTAATCAGCCGACCACCGTTCTCTTTTTGTGAATCGTGAGTATAATATTATTTTAGAGTAATCTTTTACTTTTTTTTTTGATTTTTTTTCTTTCACGATACACGAGCATATGAATTAATGTACCTTTATCATATAGATTATATATTATACTTTATTCATATTAAGAAATATATATAATTCAAGTTTTGTTATCGTATATTCATCTTTTATTGTGTGACTTAATTCACTAACAAATTTTTGATTACGTGTATTAAACACATATAGATGTCAAGGCAAGTAGATCTCATTAGAAACTTGGGAGGTGAAAAAAAAGTCATGGAATCTCAAAATCCGTGTTTTGCACATTTGGAAACAGCCAAATTATTTTAAGAAAGATCTTCAAGACATGGAGATGATATTCATTGATGAACAGGTGATTATTTTATTTTAATACGTCAAATATGATAGTTAGGAAAATATATTTTTCACATTTGTTTCTTCATTACGCAGGGTGATACTGTGCAAGCTTCCATTAAGTATACACTGTTATACAGATTTGAGTCTAAGATCAAAGTGAACAGATCTTATGTAATGTCAAACATATCTGTTTTTTTTAGTGTCAAGACCTACAACCATGCCTTGAATGATTATAGAGTCACTTTTGAATATACATCTACTGTGAGAGAAGTTGAAGTTTCGTCCATTCCAATGTATTCATTTAAGTTCACACCTTACGTAGATATACAACAAGCGTCAAACAACAATGAGTATACGATATGTATTAAATGTTTCCATTGATGTTTTTCTTAATATTTAGCATTTATTTACTGGATGTATTCTTACAATTTTTTAATATTAATTGCAGATGTTATTGGTTCGCTTTTGTCGATAGGTTCATTGAATCACCTATCGGGTGGAACAAAACAAAACATGCCATTTGAACTTGAACATATTGTGTATTTTAAAAAATCACTAAAATATATCTTTCTGGATTTTAAATCATATATATTTTCATGTGTTTTACATATCAATCATCATTTTATTTGTTATGCAAGTGGTTCGAAGGTCAACTGTTTGTTGTGGGGAAAGTTTGCTGAATACATACTTCAATGAATTCAAGATATTGGTGTAGGGCCGTATATTGTTGTAATACAATTTGCAACGACTGAGATAAAGAATGACATTAGTTTGTTCAATAATTTCTCTTATGCATTTGGTATAATGAATGTTAGGGACATTTATTACATTTCATTCTTATTGTTATGTTTTCGTAGGTGAAGTTCAGGTATTTAACCATTGGCATTCATCACGTGTGCTTATAAATGAGGATATACCTGCAATTAATGAGTTCAAGTCGAGGTTACAATTTTATATTTAAATGCATTAATTACGTTTTTTTAAAATTCATTTTTTTTCATTACGATTTATTAGCATGTAACTTTTCATTTTAGTCTCATTCAGAGTAAACCAAATAGTGGTCAAGTGATAAGTCAAAAATTGTCGCAGTCTTCTTACTCGATGGAAGATGATTTTATACGTAAGACTATCAGAAAATTTTTGGACGAATTGAGTGACACAAATGAGGTAATAACGATGTATTTGCTACATTATTTATTCGTACATTTTCAGTAAAATACTAATAGGAATCATTTATCAAAATTTATTATAACTATACTTAAATGATGTTTATTTTCACATTTTAGCCTGGCAAATATGTTGTATTGGCCACTATTAAAGGTCTTGTGAAAACATCAAAGTGGTGTACAATGGTTGCATTAAGTGTAATAGATTTGCTAGACAGGATTCAAAAATGTGGTATTGTCACGTTTGCATGGCTCATTGGCCTACTGCTAAGCCAACGTATGTAATATTTTTTTTCTTTGGGTTAATTCTAATACTATTCAACATATACATTTCATTCACATTTTGTTATTCTCTTTAGTTATAAAATTGAAGTCATTGTCATGGACGATACAAATTCAGGTTCGATGATTGTATTTGGGAAAGAAGCTGAAAGGATGCTAGATATTCCTGTAGAAGCATTAATTCAAACAGTCCAAAACATGGTACATTGATCAACCACTCATCATTTTTTTTCTCTAGAATATACATTTTCTTAGAGTAATCAATTAATTTTGTATTTTTATCATTTATTTATTTTAAATGATATGAAGGGAGAAGAATTTGTGGAGTATCATATGGAACTTGAGGGGTTAATTGATCGAAGAATGTTATTCAAAATTGCTATCAAGGGTGATAATGTTGTCAATGAAGATCATAAAACCTACAATGTTCAAAAAGTTTGCACAGATGATGGTATCATTGCTTCATTTTTGAAGTATTACGAAATGGATGCCGTATTGATAATTAACTTTAATATAATTCTTTCTTTTTATTTTAATACGTGGTTTTTAATGTGTATGTATTTTATAATATTGCAGAAACATGATAATGGTTCATCGTCGCTGAGTATCAATTATGACAACGATGGGTGTGTCTTCTCATCAAAGGTGGATTAAACAATTTATTTTTGGTTAATTGTTCATATGTTGCACGTAAGAGATGTTTCACAAATACACAAATATTTTACGTAATTCTTTTCTAATTTATAGGACTCTGGAACGTGTTCTAATTTTAACGATGGCGTTGTGGATGGTGATATCACAACTAATGGTATTGTGGATGATGATGTCAACGCTATTAATCCAATAAAGCGATCCAACGATTGTATTTTGGATAGTATTCTCAATGATCCTACCGTCCAACAATCATCCACCAAATTATTGAAAAAGATCAAACAAGAGAAAATGGAGTAATTTATTATTTAAACTTGTTCGTCATTTTTTGTTATTCATTTTGATTTTCTTTGGTATTTCGTATTTAGAGACACAATATGTTTTTCTATTTTGAGACAATATCTTTAATACTTTTGCATGGAACTTATTTCAATAAAGTTACTTATGTTTCTAAATGCGGCAAACGAATTTATTCATTTGTGTCACAATGAATTATGCATATTAATAAAATTGTTTACATTTGAACATTAATTGCGTTGTTGTCTAACAAACGTGTATACTTCATAACGATATAGCGTTATACGGATATGAGTAAATTTTAAAGTATAAATACATTTTTCTTTTATGTTTGCCCTTTCCTTTTGCATTCCGTTAATAAAATTAAAAGTTGACATACGAAAGAGAGTACCCATATATATATATATATATATATATATATATATATATATATATATATATATAACATTGTTATATTTACGTAAATATTTGTATTTATAAATATAATAATCTATATTATATTCTACGATCTACGTAATATATTTTATGAAACATTTACGTATGAATCAGATTAATCACCCATGTGTTAATATATTTTAAAATAAAAATGATAAATTAATATCGGTTACAATACTTTTTATAATTACATGTATTAAATTAACAATAATAAGTTATTATAACATGTTTAGTAACCAACTTATTCACACGTAAATACCTTTTTCAATATGGAAATTAAATATTTTACATTTTACTAAAACCTATTAATATTAATGTTCTTTAATATCGCGTTGTGTTTATGGTAATAGGATCCGATATTTTCAATAACATATACATTATTTAAGGCAAACATATTAATCATCTATATAAGATTTTTAGTGTTTTTTCTATTAACTTTGACATTAATTATGAAATCCGTGGACTGTAATAATTAAATATTGATATGAATATAGTGTGTGTATTTTCTAACTTTATTTTAAATACTCATATATTTTGAAATATTTTGATTATACAAAGAGTATTAATTTATGAAATGTTAACTTAAATCAATTATATTTTTAAAATATCACCATATATCAGTTATTCCTAGATTAAAGCTCATTTTAAAATTTGAATTTTTAATTTTTAATCTACTTTCCAAATTATGCTTACAATCCAAACTATATAATCTACCCAACTCAATGTTATTTTCATGTTGTAAATGTAAATATTTTTCAGGTGTATTACCGATTTTTTTTTTATCTATAGTTTCAGATCTATCAATAGAAACAATTATTAAAAGGGATGCAAGGCCATGGCCGCAGGATTACGTTCACAACACTAGGTCTCCTGCAAATACTTACCAAACGTAAGTTATCAAAAATTGTTATTTACTTCATAATTCCATAAATGAAATATTTTTTAAAATTATGGATATATAGATCATAACAAATTGTATGTGTTTTTATTACATAGTCATATATTTTCTTTAAATTAACTGTTATTTGTTCAAATTGATGGACTCAGATAAACAAACTCCAATTCAGTCAGTATTTTCAACCAGAAAAGTCATCATGGAAAATAATGTTTTGTCTCCAAAATTTGTTGGAAGTAAGTATTATCTATTTTGTCATACCATATATATATATATTAAAGTGTTGGGTTTCGGGCACGCATACGCAGCGGAAAACAAAAATTTTATGCGATTTAAACGACTTTAAAACACACAATTACATGCCCGACAAATTAAATCAATTAATTGCGTACCTTTGCGCTTCCAGCGAAATTAAAAACAATTTACATGCTAATAATTTCAATCGAATTCAAAACAATTAACATGCTCGCGTTTAAACCAAATAACATGCTTGCGATGATTCAAAAACGATTACACATAATCACATAAAATCATACGAAACAAACATGAATACATAGGCTTAAACAAAACAAATCGAAACTAGGGTTTCGCGTTTTTACCTCTTGGAGCGTGAGGTAGAGGCGATTAATACGTCGTGATTACTACGGAAACCAATCCGTAGAATCGGAGCAGCAGCGGTGCAACGGCAGCAGCGGCGCGTGTGGTATACGCGCGGCTTCGGGGCGGCGCGTGGGGCAGCGTGCGGCTTCGGCTCGTGCGTTGCTCCTCGATTCTTTGATCTACGATCTTCCTCCTCTCGGATTTCACCTCGTATACTTCGATCTACTAAAACGTGGCACTAGACACGAAGTAGTTAGAATAAAACGGAAGAAACGAAAAGAGAAAGAATACCGAACAAGAAACGGCCGATGAACGGCCGATGAACGGCGACGGAGCGGCGACGGTGGCGCGGTGGTGGCCGCGCGGGAGAGAGGGCGAGAGAGAGAGAGGACGGCCGCTAGGGTTAGGGTTTGTTGTGTGTTGTGCAAGGCCTATAAATCATGTATTTATAGTCCTTGCATAAAACCCTAGCGGGCTTAAGTTGGACCGGGCCCAACAGCTTAAGTCCGTTAGTATCTTTACTTGCTCGTCTCTCTTAATTCAATGACCGAAAAATTGCAACGATTACATTTTCGGAATCATTATAATTTCCTCGTCATTACGAGTGCCTTCTTTCATTTTCCAACTTTCCAAAAGTGGAAACCCTAGTTCAGTGGACTTTCTAAATTTGGAAACTTCCCGATTTAGAAAGTTCACTAATATGTTCGCCTATTCTTTTCCTTTTCTTATTCTCATTCATAATTCCAAATTACGAATGTTGGACCCAATCATATTGACTTCCAATCATGCAAAGATAAACTATTTTATCTCTACCGTTTATTCACAGATCTCATGTGCACGAGCAGTGTGACCCTCGATGGTTCAGGTGTAAGCTAGCCGTGGGCCCACAACTGTTTGTGGTCAAAACTCGTCCCTTAGAGTTACGATTAAGATGAAGCTCGTTTCACCTCAATCACCCAACGAATCAAGATTGGCGTCTAGCAACTACGCGTCATGATTCCCTAGATACAAATGAAGTGCCTGCAAGAACCTTCAGATATAGTTAACGTACAGTACGGTCCCTTCGATTCATATGTCCCGATCGAACTAGAGGCATTGGTTCATCGAGACCTCTTTATATGTTCGATGACGGTGCGATCGTTCTAAGTGTTGTAATCCTTACGTGCATGACTTAGAGAATCGAATTCTCTAATCATCACTTAGTCAGCTCTGGCCAGAGACTTAGAGTGATTACAAACTTTCAGAACACACAGGACATCCAAGACTATTCTAGCGATCGAATCCCCGACTACAATGCACAGACCTCCCACTAGATTTCGGACTGCACGAACACTGGCCCTTGGGATGGTCCTCGGTGGAACTCAGGGACAGGTCACGATACAGCTGGTCCTCTAGTGAAGTCACGGTGATGTCTAGGTCATAAGGACTAATGGTGTACAACTATACCATAGATATCTCTACTCCATTATTGGGAACCACTTAGAGATTTCTAGGGTGAGGGAGTTCAGTGAACTCGTCAACTTACGAGCACCCACTTATGCATGCCGATATCACAATACCGTTTACTGATGAGATGCAGTACACATACACTAAGTGCTAGTCTTAATGGGAAAGGCCGATATCCTCATTAGTGGCGTAACCCTTCGACTAGGAACACGTTTAACAGTTATAATACTTAAGTAAATATCTCACGATCCTAACGATCAATTACTAGTACTTGTAATAACTGTAAGGACTATATCTATGCTTGTGACAAAGGGACAAAGATAAAGAATGCCAAGGTGTTTTATCATTAATACGAATAAAGGTTCGTTTATTACAATAATAAATACGAAAGACCACAGCCACATGTTGGCTTGTTGGTCACCTACTCTAACATAAAGTACAACAAATTAATATGAAAACATTACAACAATAAAAAAATCGCAGGTTTTCCAAAGTCCTGTCAATTGACTGTCGACGGATCTCAGATGAAAGAGAACCGATTCGCCGGAAACATGTCTGACAATAGTACGTCATATGTACATACCTATTTTTGTAGTTATTGATTATGTATGGTTAATATTTATTAGGGTAAATTACAAACACCCCCTTGAGGTATAGTCAAATTACAAAAACACCCCTCTTGTTTGGATAATTACAACCACCCCCTCAACTCATCAAATTTAGTGGAATCTTCGAGATTATATGGAACATTATCACTTTTGTACCCGTTTTATCCTATTCAAACTCTACATTATGAAGCAAGATGGTCATAATATGTGATTTTTAGCTTGTATATATCAGTTTGTGGTGCATCGGAAACTGTATTTTTTACACAAAAAGAGTACAAACTAGAGCACATTTCACAGAATCTAGATGACTATGTTGAATTTGGCACCATAAAGGTGGAAGTGTAAGAAAAAATCCTAGTTGAGAGGGGTAGATGTAATTACCCAAACAAGAGGGGGGTTTTTGTAATTTGACCATACCTCAGGGGGGTGTTTGTAATTTACCCTATTTATTATTTTATACGATTATACGTTATCATGTACTATTCATCAATATAAGCGTGTAGGTTATATTAAGGAAAATGCAAAGAAATAATAATTGAACAAGTTGGAAGCAAACGAGGTAAAGGAATCATTACTGGACAAAAGAAATTGCTTGGTGACGCCTTCAAGGGAATTAATCTTGATCGAATGAGTGATAACGGCGTTCTAACCGACATATCCAATGGTTAGCTATTCAACTATATAAGGGTTAATTGCGTCTTTATTAATATATATTATATGGTACGCATGTATGAAATTTTATTGAATGGTCTTAATGAATATTTACATCTTCTTCATATTATAAGAAGTAAAATACTTTTGAACTACAAATATAAATATTTAATTATACTTAAGTTTATATAATGCATTTAATACATATATTCATATATGTGTATATCTACGGTAAGTCTGCACTCATCTTTGGAACATGTTGCGAAAGTAAAGGCTAAAGGTATTATTCCTAAACAAACAAAATTGCTAGGTGATCCTTCAAATCGAGTGAACATGGATCAAACCCAATCGAGTTACGCTACAACTAATCGTTCAATTGGTTAGTATATAATTTAACTTTAAATACGAATATCACAAACTGCTCGATCTTATATTTTTTTTTATCGTCATTATTTCGTATAGGTCATAACTAACTAAATATTGTTCTCCCAATATCCTTCCACAAATGCTGTCAATAGTGTACGAAAAAAATCATTTTCAACATATACAAAAAAATTGACGAAGAAAAAGAAAGGTATTATATCAAGTATTTTTTTTAGCAATAAAAAACAAGTGGCATGAATTAAATGGGGAGTAATTGTGGTGCCCATGCTATGTTAGACGTTAATACTGTTATCTTTGTACAATTATTGCTACGTAATTATAAATAAATGAATTTTATAATAAAGAAGTTATGTTGTTACTACAACAGATGACGTTGAGTACTGTCGCAATGGTGCATCTACATCATGTGAAGATCCTGTACAAGTTACAAAATCTTATTATGAATCAAATAAAAGGTGCGATCTTATTTTCTAGGACTAATTTTATGTCTTATTAAATGATTAAGTGTGCAATACATGTAGACAATATTCCAGTTTTTTCTTTCATTTCGATAGAAGCTGAATGTTTACTATTATGTTAATTGTACCGTGCGGAATGGAAAGAAGATGGCTAGGAGTCATAAAACAATTGACTCTGTAACACGTGTGTTGGATATGACATCAGTACCCGCTATGTTAATAGATGAGGATTTACAGACGTTAAGAGACATTTCTTCCGACAGCGGAGGTAATTATCTTTGTCATCATCTCATAACGTATCTCATTGTTATGCCTGTCAGTATATTTTTCTACTGTAATGATAATTTTTTGTTTATAAATGTAAATTCTGAATATGTCTCCAACGATGAGAATAGTGACGATGCAGTTGACGATACTGGTAAATGTCATTTTAATCTAACAACTTTTAATCTTAACATTACTAATTATATAAATTCATTACATTTTTTTTAATGACTAATATTATTTAATTAATTTTGGATAGATTATGAAGATCTTGGAGATCAGACGTATGAATGTCCTTTTTTGCGGTGCAATGATGTGGTACGGTGAAAGAATTGACAAGCATAGACAAACATGCAGGCCCAAATTTATCTTATGTTGTATGTCCGGGAAAGTCCAGCTCCCAAAAATAAGAGATGCACCTCCTACACTTAACAATTTAGTGTTTGGAACTGATCGGAGGAGCAAACATTTCCAAGAGAACGTACGATCGTACAATATGATGTTTTCTTTCACGTCGCTTGGTGGAAAAGTGCAGACATCTATTAATTACGGATATGGTCCATACACGTTTCTGTTACACGGACAAAATTACCATCTACTGGGCAGTTTATTGCCGGAAGAAGGCACTAGGCCTAAGTTTGCCCAACTTTACATTTTCGACACAGAAAATGAGATTCATAATCGAATTGATGCCGTCGGGTAAATTTTCGGGAATTATATTCCTGTTCTAAGGAATATAAAGCTTACAAATTATAATTACATTATTTTTTATTTGACAGGTCCGGAAATCAATCTAACGATCTTGCCCCAGCCATCATTGCATCGTTGAAAGATATGATTGACAGTAACAATGTACTTGCACAGCAGTACCGTGCTGTTCGATATCGTTTTTCTAATGATGGCCATCAAGGAGTAAAACTCAGATTGGTAAAGAGTCGCAGTACTAATGGCAGGACGTACAATCTTCTTAACGCATGTGAAATAGCAGGCTTGATCGTTGGTGACTTTGACACACAAGAGGGTGTTAGGGATATTGTAGTTGAGACGCGCTCAAATAAGCTTCAACGAATCAGTGAGCTCCATCCTCTTTACTTGCCTCTACAGTATCCTCTTTTATTTCCTTACGGTGAAGATGGTTATCGAGGCGATATCAGTTTGAGAGAATCTTCATTTGCCGATAATAGGAAAGGAAGGAAGGTAAGCATGCGAGAGTTCTTTTCATACCTAATTCAGAAACGGCGTGGAGAACATTCGTTACTTTTGCATTCCAAGAAGTTATTTCAGCAGTTCTGTGTTGATGGATTTTCGATGGTTGAGTCACAGAGGTTGAATTTCATAAGGTTCAATCAGGATCAACTTAGGGTTGACATGTACAAAGGTATCGAAGAAAAGATTCTTAAAGGAGACACTGAGGGTAAATCAGTTGGACAACGCATTATAATTCCAGGGTCGTTCACCGCAGGTCCAATGTATATGTTTAAAAACTTCGTTGATGCTCTTCAAATATGTAACTAGATTGGATTTCCAACCCTATTCATCACCATCACATGCAATCCTCAATGGCCAGAAATACAAAGGGTGTTCAAAGATACAAATCTCAGGCCGGAGGATCGTCCAGACATTCTGTGTCATTTGTTCAAGATGAAGCACGATAGTGTGATGATGAAAATCAAGAAGGGACGTATATTCGGACGTATTAGAGCATGTAAGTATTTAATTAGATCTCAATTTATAATTAAACATTTAATACGTTTACATAAATTAGATAATTTAGTCATGTGCGAGTTTAACTACTTTTTGCTTCATTAACTAAATTAATTCATATTTTTTAATACTGTATGTTTACATTTTCTATGCAGATGTATGCACAATTGAATTTCAGAAACGAGATCTACCGCATGCACATATTTTATTGTGGTTGCATAATGACGACAAGCCCAAGAACCCAGAAGAAATTGACATGATCATATGTGTTGAAATTCATGACGAAGAAAACGACAGAAACATGTAGCAGTTGGTGGAGAAGTATATGATACATGGACCGTGCGGTCAAGCGAATTTGAAATCTCCCTGTATGAAGGATAGAGTTTGCACGAAGCGATTTCCAAAGTCGTTTGTGCAGCGCACTGAATCAGATGCAGATGGTTTTACTGTGTATAGGAGAAGGGAAGATGGCAGAACAGTTACGAAGAAGAAAACTACTCTTGACAATGGGTTTGTGGTCCCGTACAATCTTATTTTGTTGAGTAAATACCGAGCTCACATTAATATCGAGCTATGCAACCAAAACAAGTCAATTAAATACCTGTTCAAATATGTAAACAAGGGGCATGACCGAGTCACAACGGCATTTTATGAAGCACGTAATACAGATGGCGGTGCTGAGATTCGTGATAAGATAAAGATGTACTACGACTGCAGATATCTTTCGGCGTGTGAGGCAGTGTGGAGGTTGTTTAACTTTGATATTCATTACAGAGATTCGTCCGTAATTAGGCTAAGCTTTCATCTCCCCGATCATCAGCCACTTGTCTTCAATGAAAACCAGTCGTTACAAAGTGTGTTGGATAGGCCATCTGCCAAGCAAACTATGTTCCTGGCGTGGTTTGAGGCCAACAAGAACTATCCACATGCAAGGGACTTGAGGTACGGAGATTTTCCACAACAATTTGTGTATAAAGAGGATTCTCGAACTTGGGCGCCAAGGAAAAAAAGGATTTTCTATTGGTAGGACTGCGAATGTTCCCCCTGGAAAGGGGGAAGACTATTACCTTAGGTTGCTACTTAACATTCAGAGGGGATGCACATGCTACGAGGACATCATAAAAGTTTTTTACATCGTCTACCCTACGTTCAGGGATGCATGTTATGTGTTGGGTTTGCTAGATGACGACAAAGAATATATAGATGCAATAATAGAATTGAATACTTGGGCATCGTGGGATTACATAAGAAGGTTATTTGCGGTTATGCTGCTTTCCAATAGCTTAAGTCGGCCCGAACATGTTTGGCAAAGTTGTTGGTTGGATTTGGCTGAGGGTAATGCTTACAAACAACAACGTCTTCATAAAAATCTAGGTATGGCAATTTGTATGGCACTGTATTCAGTTAGATTTTACATATTAATCATTCTTTTAATATTGTCTCTGTACGATTTCAACTAGATGCACATAATTTATCCATTTTTTTTATTGTTGAAGATTTACATATATCGAATGAAAGTTTGAAGAACTATACCCTCACCGAAATAGAAAAGATATTGCTAAGCAATGGTAAAAGCCTGCGAAATTACGCGCCTATGCCAGTTCTAATCGAATCCTCAGATGAGGACACAGTAAACTTATTGGTGTTAGATGAACTGGATTACGACCGGTTTGAAATGGGTAGAGAACTTCAACAGTGTCTTGCTTCCATTACAGATGATCAAAGAAATGTTTATGATGTAGTCATGGATGCTGTATCCAATGACAGTGGTGGAATGTTCTTTCTATATGGCCATGGTGGAACGGGAAAGACGTTTATGTGGAAAACTCTTTCAGTTGCAGTTGGTTCGAAGGGAGAGATTGTAATTAACGTTGCATCGAGTGGTATACCATCATTATTTCTCCCCGGTGGAAGAACAGCTCATTCTCGATTCAGACTAACCATAAATGTACATGAGAGTTAAACCTGCAGCATATCGCAACAAAGTCCACAAGCGGAGTTGCTCATAAGGGCAAAGCTTATTATATGGGACGAGGCTCCTATGATGCATAGATACTGTTTTGAAGCCCTTGACAAGACAATGAAGTCAATATTACAGGTTGACAAACCCTTTGGTGGTAAGGTGGTTGTTGAGATTTTAGGCAGATTTTACAAGTTGTGCTCAAAGCATCAAGGCAGGACATAGTACATGCTACGATAAACTCCTCTCCGTTGTGGAATTTCTGTCGTTTCATGAAGTTGACTAAGAACATGAGATTGCAGTCATGCTCTTCTCCATCTAATGTGGATGAGATAAAAGAATTTGGAGACTGGATATTGAATGTTGGTAATGGGGATGTTGGGGAAGACAATGATGGTGAAGCTTCGATAGAGATTCCAGATGACATGTTGATTGGTGATTCAGAAGATCCATTCACAGACCTACTCGAATTCGTTTACCCGGATTTGTTGAGTAACATGTACGATCAAGATTATTTTCAAGGGAGGGCAATTCTGTTGGGGATCGTGCATGTATACGCAGCGGAATTTAAATTTTTTAGATCGAACTAGTGTCGATTACATGCATAAATTAATCACATAGTCAACGTACCTCAACGCTTCCGCCATACATATGGTAATTATCGATTTTATTAAAAACATGTAAAACCGAAAAATATAAAACATGCTTGTTCATCATATTACAAAATCGAAACACGCAATCACATATCGCACATGCTCGTAAAATAAAATTCATACAAACATGTTCGAATTAAATTTACGAAAGTTTCGATTTAATTACCTCTTGTAGCGTGAGATTTCGACGAATCGAAATCGAACTCAAACCCGTAGAAGCTGCGCTATACCACTCCTAGGGGATGCAAGAATACCACCAAACGACAGCTGGTCCGACGGTGAGGCGACGGCGGCGCGTGGGCGGTGCAGCGGCGGTGTGGTGATTCCTTTGGGGTAGCAGCTCCTCTCCAATCAGGTTTCACCTCGAATAAACCGATCTTCCCCTACTGTAGCACTAGATACAAAGGGGTTAGATAACAAGGGAAACACGAGAGAGAAAGAAGAGGGAAAAACCGGCGGTTTCCGGTCGGCGGACGGCGCCGGTGCGGCGGCGGCAGAGAAGCTTGGGCGGCTAGGGTTTGATGGCTAGGGTTTTTGGAGTAAAAAATCTGATCTCAAACTCTTGTTTGAGGTCTATTTATACTAGGGTTCTCAACCCTTGTGGGTTTAAGTCATTGGGCTTGACCCACTGATGCATTAAGCCCATTCCCTCGTCGGCCTCGTTTCTAACAAACGATCGTTCACAAAATTATAACAAAATTATATTTGTGACGGGCTCAAAGTCCTCGTCGATACGAGTGCCTCTTCGAAATTTCCAATTTCCAAAAATGGAAACTTCCACTTCAGTGGAACTGCTAAACCGGGAAACTTCCCAATTTAGAAAGTTCACTAAATTTCGCATGTCTCTCTTTCTGTACGTTTATTCCGACTCGTAATCCACAATCACGAACCTTGGACTCATTCAAATTGACCTCCAACTTTGCAAAGATTAACATTTTAACCTATGCTCATTGTTATCAAGGATCCGTATTACACGAGAAGTGTGACCCTCAATGGTTCAGGTGTATGCTAGCCGTGGGCTCACAACTCTTTGTGATTCGAACAACACATTGTTCTTATACGCACTCCTCCCAAGAGTCCCGATTAGAGTAAAACTCATTTTACTTAATCGCCGATCAAATCGGTGCCCAACGAATCAAGATTGGCGTCTAGCAACTACGCATCATGATTCCCTAGATACAAGTGAAATGCCTGCAAGAACCTTATGATATAGTTAGCGTACAGTACGATCCCTTCGCAGCACATGTCCCGATTGAACTAGAGGCATTGGTTCACCGAGACCTCTTATAAAGTTCAATAACCATGCTAACGTTCTAAGTATTATAAATCCGTTCGTGTGTGACTTAGGGAAACACATTTCCCTAATCACCCCACTATCAACTCTGGCCAGAGATTCCTTGGATTATAAACCGTCATAACACACAGGACATCCATGACTACTCAAGCGCTTGAATCCCCTACTACAATGCACAGACTTCACACTAGATTTCGAATTGCATGAACTTGGCCCTTGGAGTGGTCTGCTGTGGGACTCAGGGACAGGTCACGATACAATCGGTCCTCTAGTGAAGTCACGGTGATGTCCGGGTCTTAAGGACTAATGGTGTACAACTATATCTTAGAAACCTATTACTCGATGAATGAGAACCACTTATAGATTTCTAGGGCGAGGGAGTTCAGTGAACTCATCCAGTATGAGCACCCACTCAAGTATGCCGATGTCACAACATCGAGGACTGATGAGACGCAATACACATACACTAAGTTCTAGTCTCAAAAGGGAAAGGCCGGTATCCTCATTATTGGCGTAACCCATCGACTAGGAACAAGGTTTAACAGTTACATTACATTGCTGAGTTATCTCACGATTCTACTAGATCAACTCACAGTAATAGAGTAACTCGTTAGGACTATATCTATGGTGCTTGCATGGGATAAGAGATATAGAATGCCAAATGAAATATTTAATTATTACGAACGAAAAATGATTGTTTTATTACAAGGAAAAAGAGAAAGACCACAGCCACAAGTTGGCTTGTTGGTCACCTAGTCTAACAATCTCCCACTTGACCTAAAGCCAACTACTCATAAATCTAAGTCCCATCGACTCTCGTTGTTTCTCGTGGACTGATCCTGACAATGGCTTGGTGAAGGGATCTGCAATATTTGTTGGGTTTCGGGCACGCGTACGCAGGGGAAAACAAAAATTTTATGCGAATTAAACAACTTTAAAACACATAAGCACATGCCCGATAATTAAATCAATTAATTGCGTACCTTTGCGCTTCCAGCGAAATTAAAAACAACATACATTGCGTACCTTTGCGCTTCCAGCGAAATTAAAAACAACATACATGCTTAATTACTTAATCGAAATTAAATCAATTAGCATGCTCGCGTTTAAATCAAATAATCATGCTCGCAATAATAAAACAAATTTCATGTAGTCACATAAAATCATACAAGTTTCTTATTAAAACGAACATGCATATATTAATTTAAACGTAACTGAATCGAATGACAATTGATTCGAAACATTACCTCTTGAAGCGTGAGGTAGGCGCACTAAGCAAATCTAGATTGCCACGGAAACCAATCCGTGCAATCCGGGGCAGCAACGGCGATGATCCGAGCTACGGCAGCGCATGTGATTCACGCACAGAGAAGATGGCTAGCTGCTCTTCCCACTCCTATTGATCCAACCTGTTTGCTGATCTGAAATTACAGCCTTGCTCCGACTTCAGTATCTCCATGCGTATTTACTGGATTAACAATTCCTTCTGGAAGATGGTAGATTTATGAGTCGTGAAGCTGCTGTCAAAATTTCACGTCCATCGGATGACCGGTTGATTTATGGCGAATTTTCTCGCTGGGCAGCGCAGAAATTCCGAGAGCAGTTTTTCGGAATTGCCTTCTCGCATCTTCGATTCTTCGATCTTCCTCCTCTTGGATTTCACCTCGTATACTTCGATCTACTAAACACGTGGCACTAGACACGTAATAGTCAGAATAACGGAAGAAAAGAAAGAAGGAAAGGAATACCGAAAGAGATCGGCCAACGGGTGGCCGTTTCCGGCGAATTTCCGGCGACGGCGCGGTGGTGGTGGCCGTGGGAGAGGGTGGCTGATCGAGAGAGGCAGCGGCTAGGGTTATGAACGTGTGTTCTCTTAGTTGTATGTGTGCAAGACCTATAAATCAAGTATTTATATGTCTTGCATAAAACCCTAACGGGCTTAAGTTGGACCGGGCCCAACAACTTAAGTTCGTTAGTTCTTTTACTTGCTCATCTCTCTCAATTCGATGATCGGAAAACTGTAACGATTACATTTTCGGAATCATTATAATGTCCTCGTCATTACGAGTGCCAACTCTCGATTTCCAACTTTCCAAAAGTGGAAACACTAATTCAGTGCACTTTCTAAATTTGGAAACTTCCCGATTTAGAAGGTTCACTAATACGTTCGCCTATTCTTTTCCTTTTCTTATTCTCATTCATAATTCCAAATTACGAATGTTGGACCCAATCATATTGACTTCCAATCATGCAAAGATAAACATATTTTACCTTTGACCGTTTATTCAAAGATCTCATGTGCACGAGCAGTGTGACCCTCGATGGTTCAGGTGTAAGCTAGCCGTGGGCCCACAACCCTTTGTGGTCAAAACTCGTCCCCTTAGAGTTACGATTAAGATGAAACTCGTTTCACCTTAATCACCCAACGAATCAAGATTGGCGTCTAGCAACTACGCGTCATGATTCCCTAGATACAAATGAAGTGCCTGCAAGAACCTTCAGATATAGTTAACGTACAGTACGGTCCCTTCGATACATATGTCCCGATCGAACTAGAGGCATTGGTTCATCGAGACCTCTTTATATGTTCGATGACGATGCGATCGTTCCAAGTATTGTAATCGTCACGTGCATGACTTAGAGAATCGAATCCTCTAATCATCACTTAGTCAGCTCTGGCCAGAGACTTAGAATGATTACAAACTATCAGAACACACAGGATATCCAAGACTATTCTAGCGATCGAATCCCCGACTACAATGCACAGACCTCCCACTAGATTTCGGACTGCACGAACACTGGCCCTTGGGACGGTCCTCGGTGGAACTCAGGGACAGGTCACGATACAACTGGTCCTCTAGTGAAGTCACGGTGATGTCTAGGTCATAAGGACTAATGGTGTACAACTATACCATAGATATCTCTACTCGATTATTGGGAACCACTTAGAGATTTCTAGGGTGAGGGAGTTCAGTGAACTCGTCAACTTACGAGCACCCACTTATGCATGCCGATATCACAATACCGTTTACTGATGAGATGCAGTACACATACACTAAGTGCTAGTCTTAATGGGAAAGGCCGATATCCTCATTAGTGGCGTAACCCTTCGACTAGGAACACGTTTAACAGTTATAATACTTAAGTAAATATCTCACGATCCTAACGATCAATTACTAGTACTTGTAATAACTGTAAGGACTATATCTATGCTTGTGACAAAGGGACAAAGATATAGAATGCCAATGTGTTTTATCATTAATACGAATAAAGGTTCGTTTATTACAATAATAAATACGAAAGACCACAGCCACATGTTGGCTTGTTGGTCACCTACTCTAACAATCTCCCACTTGACCTAAAGCCAACTACCCATGAATCGTAATCCCATCGACTCTCGATGTTTCTCATGGACCGATCTCGGTAAAGGCTTCGTGAAGGGGTCTGCAACGTTCTCTTCCGAGGTGACTCGTTCTACCTTAACTTCACCTCTATCAATGATCTCTCGGATCACGTGATACTTCCTCAGAATATGCTTCGACTTCTGATGAG